GTTGATGGTTTTCCAGGAGATGTGTTTGATAGTTTTCCCAGGAGATGTGTTTGATAGTTTTCCAGGAGATGTGTTTGATGGTTTTCCAGGAGATGTGTTTGATGGTTTTCCAGGAGATGTGTTTGATGGTTTTCCAGGAGTTGTGTTTGATGGTTTTCCAGGAGATGTGTTTGATGGTTTTCCAGGAGATGTGTTTGATGGTTTTCCAGGAGATGTGTTTGATAGTTTTCCAGGAGATGTGTTTGATGGTTTTCCAGGAGATGTGTTTTGATGGTTTTCCAGGAGTTGTGTTTGATGGTTTCCAGGAGATGTGTTTGATGGTTTTCCAGGAGATGTGTTTGATGGTTTTCCAGGAGATGTGTTTGATAGTTTTCCAGGAGATGTTTGATGGTTTTCCAGGAGTTGTGTTTGATGGTTTTCCAGGAGTTGTTTGATGGTTTTCCAGGAGTTGTGTTTGATAGTTTTCCAGGAGATGTTTGATGTTTTTCCAGGAGATGTGTTTGATAGTTTTCCAGGAGATGTTTGATGTTTTTCCAGGAGATGTTTGATGGTTTTCCAGGAGATGTGTTTGATAGTTTTCCAGGAGATGTTTGATAGTTTTCCAGGAGTTGTGTTTGATGGTTTCCAGGAGATGTGTTTGATGGTTTTCCAGGAGATGTGTTTGATGGTTTTCCAGGAGATGTGTTTGATGGTTTTCCAGGAGTTGTGTTTGATGGTTTTCCAGGAGTTGTGTTTGATGGTTTTCCAGGAGTTGTGTTTGATGGTTTTCCAGGAGTTGTGTTTGATGGTTTTCCAGGAGATGTTTGATAGTTTTCCAGGAGTTGTGTTTGATGGTTTTCCAGGAGTTGTGTTTGATGGTTTTCCAGGAGATGTGTTTTATAGTTTCCAGGAGATGTTTGATAGTTTTCCAGGAGATGTGTTTGATGGTTTTCCAGGAGATGTTTGATGGTTTTCCAGGAGATGTGTTTGATGGTTTTCCAGGAGATGTGTTTGATGGTTTTCCAGGAGATGTGTTTGATGGTTTTCCAGGAGATGTGTTTGATAGTTTTCCAGGAGATGTGTTTGATGGTTTTCCAGGAGATGTGTTTGATGGTTTTCCAGGAGATGTGTTTGATGGTTTTCCAGGAGTGTTGATATGATAACTGAACTGGTTGATCCGCTGTGTTTCAGTTCAGAGACTTCGAGGAGCCGAGCATCTCTCACTTTGAGCTGCAAGGAAACACCGTGATCGTAATGGCCGACTCTGTGAGTGAGACACACAACGGAACAACATTTGCACATTGTGTGTTTAATGTTCAAATGTAATGTTGTGTTTCTTTGTAGTTGACCTTTTTATGTGCTTTTGTGTTATTTTGTAGCTTTCTGTGGTGTCTCTGTGTGTGTCTCCGTGTGTCTCCGTGTGCCTCCGTGTGTCTCTGTGTGTCTCCGTGTGTCTCCGTCACTAATGAATCTTTTATTTTGTGACGACTTCCTGTCAGGTTCCCTCGGACGACTTCCTGTGCGTTGGTTTCCGTATCCGGGCGGGCTTCAGGGTGGGGGGGGCGAGCAAGTCACTGTTCAGCGTCTACGAGCCACAGGACAAAGGTCAGTCAGGACCTGCTGTGCATGCTGGGATTTGTTGTCCTCGTCAGCTGTGTTTGTAGTTCTTAGTCTTCAGTCAGACACAAAACAAAAGGTTGTTCAAATGTTTCCTCTTAAATCTTTAGAGCCACTTTTGATAAATACATACATCTTTTATCAGAACATAATTTGTGTAGTTTTTAATCAGTCAAACATTTCATTTGTTTTATACTTCTTATGTCAATATGTACGTTAGTTTTATTTACATCTGTTATTTAATTTGTTATCAAAATGATGAGATAGATTTTAAATGTTGGGATTTTCTTTTGTCCCACAGGCAGTGAATGCACCAGACAGTTTTCCTACCAGCAGCAGAAGCTGCAGCGCCTCTGTGTGGACGAGGAGTGCCAGTGCATGACAGGTAACATCTGACCGCCCGGTGATCACAGTGACAACAATAACACACTTTAAATAGTTAGTTCACAAAGTGTTTTATAAGACAACAAGTTCACTAAGTGTTTTATGAGACAACAAGTTCACTAAGTGTTTTATAAGACAACAAGTTCACTAAGTGTTTTATAAGACAACAAGTTCACTAAGTGTTTTATGAGACAACAAGTTCACTAAGTGTTTTATAAGACACAAGTTCACTAAGTGTTTTATGAGAACAAACAAGTTCACAAAGTGTTTATAAGACAACAAGTTCACTAAGTGTTTTTATGAGACAACAAGTTCACTAAGTGTTTTATGAGACAACAAGTTCACTAAGTGTTTTATAAGACACAAGTTCACTAAGTGTTTTATGAGACAACAAGTTCACTAAGTGTTTTATGAGACAACAAGTTCACTAAGTGTTTTATAAGACAACAAGTTCACTAAGTGTTTTATGAGACAACAAGTTCACTAAGTGTTTTATGAGACAACAAGTTCACTAAGTGTTTTATAAGACAACAAGTTCACTAAGTGTTTTATGAGACAACAAGTTCACAAAGTGTTTTATGAGACAACAAGTTCACAAAGTGTTTTATGAGACAAGAAGTTCACAAAGTGTTTTATGAGACAACAAGTTCACTAAGTGTTTTATAAGACAACAAGTTCACAAAGTGTTTTATAAGACAACAAGTTCCCTAAGTGTTTTATAAGAAAACAAGTTCACAAAGTGTTTTATGAGACAACAAGTTCACTAAGTATTTTATAAGACAAGTTCACTAAGTGTTTTATGAGACAACAAGTTCACTAAGTGTTTTATAAGACAACAAGTTCACAAAGTGTTTTATAAGACAACAAGTTCACAAAGTGTTTTATGAGACAACAAGTTCACAAAGTGTTTTATGAGACAACAAGTTCACTAAGTGTTTTATGAGACAACAAATTCACAAAGTGTTTTATGAGACAACAAGTTCACTAAGTATTTTATAAGACAACAAGTTCACTAAGTTTTTTATGAGACAACAAGTTCACAAAGTGTTTTATAAGACAACAAGTTCACTAAGTGTTTTATGAGACAACAAGTTCACAAAGTGTTTTATAAGACAACAAGTTCACTAAGTGTTTATGAGACAACAAGTTCACAAGTGTTTTATAAGACAACAAGTTCACTAAGTGTTTTATGAGACAACAAGTTTACAAAGTGTTTTATGAGACAACAAGTTCACTAAGTGTTTTATGAGACAACAAGTTCACTAAGTGTTTTATGAGACAACAAGTTCACAAAGTGTTTTATAAGACAACAAGTTCACTAAGTGTTTTATGAGACAACAAGTTCACTAAGTGTTTTATGAGACAACAAGTTCACTAAGTGTTTTATAAGACAACAAGTTCACTAAGTGTTTTATGAGACCACAAGTTCACTAAGTGTTTTATGAGACAACAAGTTCACTAAGTGTTTTATAAGACAACAAGTTCACTAAGTGTTTTATGAGACAACAAGTTCACTAAGTGTTTTATGAGACAACAAGTTCACAAAGTGTTTTATGAGACAACAAGTTCACAAAGTGTTTTATGAGACAACAAGTTCACTAAGTGTTTTATAAGACAACAAGTTCACAAAGTGTTTTATAAGACAACAAGTTCACTAAGTGTTTTATAAGACAACAAGTTCACTAAGTGTTTTATAAGACAACAAGTTCACAAAGTGTTTTATGAGACAACAAGTTCACAAAGTGTTTTATGAGACAACAAGTTCACAAAGTGTTTTATGAGACAACAAGTTCACTAAGTGTTTTATAAGACAACAAGTTCACTAAGTGTTTTATGAGACAACAAGTTCACTAAGTGTTTTATGAGACAACAAGTTCACTAAGTGTTTTATGAGACAACAAGTTCACAAAGTGTTTTATAAGAAAACAAGTTCACAAAGTGTTTTATGAGACAACAAGTTCACTAAGTATTTTATAAGACAAGTTCACTAAGTGTTTTATGAGACAACAAGTTCACTAAGTGTTTTATAAGACAACAAGTTCACAAAGTGTTTTATGAGACAACAAGTTCACAAAGTGTTTTATGAGACAACAAGTTCACTAAGTGTTTTATGAGACAACAAATTCACAAAGTGTTTTATGAGACAACAAGTTCACTAAGTGTTTTATAAGACAACAAGTTCACTAAGTGTTTTATGAGACAACAAGTTCACAAAGTGTTTTATAAGACAACAAGTTCACTAAGTTTTTTATGAGACAACAAGTTCACAAAGTGTTTTATAAGACAACAAGTTCACTAAGTGTTTTATGAGACAACAAGTTCACAAAGTGTTTTATAAGACAACAAGTTCACTAAGTGTTTTATGAGACAACAAGTTCACTAAGTGTTTTATGAGACAACAAGTTCACTAAGTGTTTTATGAGACAACAAGTTCACTAAGTGTTTTATAAGACAACAAGTTCACAAAGTGTTTTATAAGACAACAAGTTCACTAAGTGTTTTATGAGACAACAAGTTCACTAAGTATTTTATAAGACAACAAGTTCACTAAGTGTTTTATAAGACAACAAGTTCACTAAGTGTTTTATGAGACAACAAGTTCACTAAGTGTTTTATAAGACAACAAGTTCACTAAGTGTTTTATGAGACAACAAGTTCACTAAGTGTTTTATGAGACAACAAGTTCACAAAGTGTTTTATGAGACAACAAGTTCCCTAAGTGTTTTATAAGACAACAAGTTCACTAAGTATTTTATGAGACAACAAGTTCACTAAGTGTTTTATGAGACAACAAGTTCACTAAGTGTTTTATAAGACAACAAGTTCACTAAGTGTTTTATGAGACAACAAGTTCACTAAGTGTTTTATAAGACAACAAGTTCACAAAGTGTTTTATGAGACAACAAGTTCACAAAGTGTTTTATGAGACAACAAGTTCACTAAGTGTTTTATGAGACAACAAGTTCACAAAGTGTTTTATGAGACAACAAGTTCACTAAGTGTTTTATGAGACAACAAATTCACAAAGTGTTTTATGAGACAAACAAGTTCACTAAGTGTGTTATAAAGACAACAAGTTCACTAAGTGTTTTATTGAGACAACAAGTTCACAAAGTGTTTTATAAGACAACAAGTTCACTAAGTTTTTTATGAGACAACAAAGTTCACAAAGTGTTTTATAAGACAACAGTTCACTAGTGTTTTATGAGACAACAAGTTCACAAAGTGTTTTATAAGACAACAAGTTCACTAAGTGTTTTATGAGACAACAAGTTCACTAAGTGTTTTATGAGACAACAAGTTCACTAAGTGTTTTATGAGACAACAAGTTCACTAAGTGTTTTATAAGACAACAAGTTCACAAAGTGTTTTATAAGACAACAAGTTCACTAAGTGTTTTATGAGACAACAAGTTCACTAAGTATTTTATAAGACAACAAGTTCACTAAGTGTTTTATAAGACAACAAGTTCACTAAGTGTTTTATGAGACAACAAGTTCACTAAGTGTTTTATAAGACAACAAGTTCACTAAGTGTTTTATGAGACAACAAGTTCACTAAGTGTTTTATGAGACAACAAGTTCACAAAGTGTTTTATGAGACAACAAGTTCCCTAAGTGTTTTATAAGACAACAAGTTCACTAAGTATTTTATGAGACAACAAGTTCACAAAGTGTTTTATGAGACAACAAGTTCACTAAGTGTTTTATGAGACAACAAGTTCACTAAGTGTTTTATAAGACAACAAGTTCACTAAGTGTTTTATGAGACAACAAGTTCACTAAGTGTTTTATGAGACAACAAGTTCACTAAGTGTTTTATGAGACAACAAGTTCACTAAGTGTTTTATGAGACAACAAGTTCACTAAGTGTTTTATGAGACAACAAGTTCACAAAGTGTTTTATGAGACAACAAGTTCACTAAGTGTTTTATAAGACAACAAGTTCACTAAGTGTTTTATAAGACAACAAGTTCACTAAGTGTTTTATAAGACAACAAGTTCACTAAGTGTTTTATAAGACAACAAGTTCACTAAGTGTTTTATAAGACAACAAGTTCACTAAGTGTTTTATAAGACAACAAGTTCACTAAGTGTTTTATAAGACAACAAGTTCACTAAGTGTTTTATAAGACAACAAGTTCACTAAGTGTTTTATGAGACAACAAGTTCACTAAGTGTTTTATAAGACAACAAGTTCACTAAGTGTTTTATGAGACAACAAGTTCACTAAGTGTTTTAGAGAGGGTCTCTAGAGAGGGTCTTTAGAGAGGGTCTTTAGAGAGGGTCTCTAGAGAGGGTCTCTAGAGAGGGTCTTTAGAGAGGGTCTTTAGAGAGGGTCTCTAGAGAGGGTCTGTAGAGAGGGTCTTTAGAGAGGGTCTTTAGAGAGGGTCTCTAGAGAGGGTCTTTAGAGAGGGTCTCTAGAGAGGGTCTCTAGAGAGCGTCTCTAGAGAGGGTCTTTAGAGAGGGTCTCTAGAGAGGGTCTTTAGAGAGGGTCTTTAGAGAGGGTATCTAGAGAGGGTCTTTAGAGAGGGTCTTTAGAGAGGGTCTTTAGAGAGGGTCTCTAGAGAGGGTCTCTAGAGAGGGTCTTTAGAGAGGGTCTCTAGAGAGGGTCTTTAGAGAGGGTCTTTAGAGAGGGTCTCTAGAGAGGGTCTGTAGAGAGGGTCTTTAGAGAGGGTCTTTAGAGAGGGTCTCTAGAGAGGGTCTTTAGAGAGGGTCTTTAGAGAGGGTCTTTAGAGAGGTCTTTAGAGAGGGTCTTTAGAGAGGGTCTCTAGAGAGGGTCTTTAGAGAGGGTCTTTAGAGAGGGTCTCTAGAGAGGGTCTTTAGAGAGGGTCTTTAGAGAGGGTCTCTAGAGAGGGTCTTTAGAGAGGGTCTCTAGAGAGGGTCTTTAGAGAGGGTCTTTAGAGAGGGTCTCTAGAGAGGGTCTTTAGAGAGGTCTTTAGAGAGGGTCTTTAGAGAGGGTCTCTAGAGAGGGTCTTTAGAGAGGGTCTCTAGAGAGGGTCTCTAGAGAAGGTCTTTAGAGAGGGTCTTTAGAGAGGGTCTTTAGAGAGAGTCTCTAGAGAGGTTCTCTAGAGAGGGTCTTTAGAGAGGGTCTTTAGAGAGGGTCTCTAGAGAGGGTCTTTAGAGAGGTCTTTAGAGAGGGTCTTTAGAGAGGGTCTTTAGAGAGGGTCTCTAGAGAGGGTCTTTAGAGAGGGTATCTAGAGAGGGTCTTTAGAGAGGGTCTTTAGAGAGGGTCTTTAGAGAGGGTCTCTAGAGAGGTTCTCTAGAGAGGGTCTTTAGAGAGGGTCTTTAGAGAGGGTCTCTAGAGAGGGTCTGTAGAGAGGGTCTCTAGAGAGGGTCTCTAGAGAGGGTCTTTAGAGAGGGTCTCTAGAGAGGGTCTCTAGAGAGGGTCTTTAGAGAGGGTCTCTAGAGAGGGTCTCTAGAGAGGGTCTCTAGAGAGGGTCTGTAGAGAGGGTCTTTAGAGAGGGTCTTTAGAGAGGGTCTCTAGAGAGGGTCTCTAGAGAGGGTCTTTAGAGAGGGTCTTTAGAGAGGGTCTTTAGAGAGGGTCTCTAGAGAGGGTCTGTAGAGAGGGTCTTTAGAGAGGGTCTTTAGAGAGGGTCTTAGAGAGGGTCTCTAGAGAGGGTCTTTAGAGAGGGTCTTTAGAGAGGGTCTGTAGAGAGGGTCTTTAGAGAGGGTCTTTAGAGAGGGTCTTTAGAGAGGGTCTCTAGAGAGGGTCTCTAGAGAGGGTCTTTAGAGAGGGTCTTTAGAGAGGGTCTCTAGAGAGGGTCTTTAGAGAGGGTCTTTAGAGAGGGTATCTAGAGAGGGTCTCTAGAGAGGGTCTTTAGAGAGGGTCTTTAGAGAGGGTCTCTAGAGAGGATCTCTAGAGAGGGTCTTTAGAGAGGGTCTCTAGAGAGGGTCTTTAGAGAGGGTCTCTAGAGAGGGTCTCTAGAGAGGGTCTTTAGAGAGGGTCTTTAGAGAGGGTATCTAGAGAGGATCTCTAGAGAGGGTCTCTAGAGAGGATCTCTAGAGAGGGTCTTTAGAGAGGGTCTCTAGAGAGGGTCTCTAGAGAGGATCTCTAGAGAGGGTCTTTAGAGAGGGTCTCTAGAGAGGGTCTCTAGAGAGGGTCTTTAGAGAGGGTCTTTAGAGAGGGTATCTAGAGAGGGTCTCTAGAGAGGGTCTTTAGAGAGGGTCTTTAGAGAGGGTCTCTAGAGAGGATCTCTAGAGAGGGTCTTTAGAGAGGGTCTCTAGAGAGGGTCTTTAGAGAGGGTCTTTAGAGAGGGTCTCTAGAGAGGGTCTTTAGAGAGGGTCTTTAGAGAGGGTCTGTAGAGAGGGTCTTTAGAGAGGGTCTTTAGAGAGGGTCTCTAGAGACCCTCTCTAGAGAGGGTCTTTAGAGAGGGTCTTTAGAGAGGGTCTCTAGAGAGGGTCTTTAGAGAGGGTCTTTAGAGAGGGTCTTTAGAGAGGGTCTCTAGAGAGGGTCTTTAGAGAGGTCTTTAGAGAGGGTCTTTAGAGAGGGTCTCTAGAGAGGGTCTTTAGAGAGGGTCTCTAGAGAGGGTCTCTAGAGAGGGTCTTTAGAGAGGGTCTTTAGAGAGGGTCTCTAGAGAGGTTCTCTAGAGAGGGTCTTTAGAGAGGGTCTTAGAGAGGGTCTTTAGAGAGGGTCTCTAGAGAGGGTCTTTAGAGAGGGTATCTAGAGAGGGTCTTTAGAGAGGGTCTTTAGAGAGGGTCTTTAGAGAGGGTCTCTAGAGAGGTTCTCTAGAGAGGGTCTTTAGAGAGGGTCTTTAGAGAGGGTCTCTAGAGAGGGTCTGTAGAGAGGGTCTTTAGAGAGGGTCTTTAGAGAGGGTCTCTAGAGAGGGTCTTTAGAGAGGGTCTTTAGAGAGGGTCTCTAGAGAGGGTCTTTAGAGAGGGTCTCTAGAGAGGGTCTTTAGAGAGGGTCTTTAGAGAGGGTCTGTAGAGAGGGTCTTTAGAGAGGGTCTTTAGAGAGGGTCTTTAGAGAGGGTCTTTAGAGAGGGTCTCTAGAGAGGGTCTGTAGAGAGGGTCTCTAGAGAGGGTCTTTAGAGAGGGTCTCTAGAGAGGGTCTTTAGAGAGGTTCTCTAGAGAGGGTCTTTAGAGAGGGTCTCTAGAGAGGGTCTTTAGAGAGGTTCTCTAGAGAGGGTCTTTAGAGAGGGTCTCTAGAGAGGGTCTCTAGAGAGGGTCTTTAGAGAGGGTCTTTAGAGAGGGTCTCTGCGGCGGCTCCATGTTCTGCATCCATTACATCATATATATTATTGTTGTATAATAAATGTTGTCGTGCAGCTGCGTGCGCCGCCTACAGAGGAAGCACGGACCCCGCGATGACCGTCAACAAGCGCACCGCGGAGACCTGCAGGCCGCACATCACATACGGTGACACACACACACACACACACACACACACTCACACACACACACACACACACACACACACACACACACACACACACACACACTCACACACACACACACACACACACACACACACACACACTGATGCACATTCTCAGAGATGTTGAAGTGACTGTTATTTTGTAAACATTGATTGTTGTCTTAATGAATAAGATGATCCGATGTAAAGACACTTCCTGTTTGTCTCCCTGCAGCCTATCGGGTGACGGTGAAGTCTTCAGCTGCAGAAGGAGACTTCATGTCCTACACAGCCACCGTAGAGGAAGTCCTGAAGAACACGGACAAACGTATATAAATGAGCAGGAGAGGACTCTTTAAAGTAGAGACACTACACACTGATAAACACCTGAACATCAGCAGGAGAGGACTCTTTAAAGTAGAGACACTACATACTGATATACACCTGAACATCAGCAGGAGAGGACTCTTTAAAGTAGAGACACTACATACTGATATACACCTGAACATCAGCAGGAGAGGACTCTTTAAAGTAGAGACACTACATACTGATATACACCTGAACATCAGCAGCAGAGGACTCTTTAAAGTAGAGACACTACATACTGATATACACCTGAACATCAGCAGGAGAGGACTCTTTAAAGTAGAGACACTACATACTGATAAACACCTGAACATCAGCAGCAGAGGACTCTTTAAAGTAGAGACACTACATACTGATCTACACCTGAACATCAGCAGGAGAGGACTCTTTAAAGTAGAGACACTACATACTGATGTACACCTGAACATCAGCAGGAGAGGACTCTTTAAAGTAGAGACACTACACACTGATATACACCTGAACATCAGCAGGAGAGGACTCTTTAAAGTAGAGACACTACATACTGATGTACACCTGAACATGAGCAGGAGAGGACTCTTTAAAGTAGAGACACTACATACTGATACATAACACCTGAACATCAGCAGGAGAGGACTCTTTAAAGAAGAGACACTACATACTGATATACACCTGAACATCAGCAGGAGAGGACTCTTTAAAGTAGAGACACTACATACTGATATACACCTGAACATCAGCAGGAGAGGACTCTTTAAAGTAGAGACACTACATACTGATATACACCCTGAACATCAGCAGGAGAGGACTCTTTAAAGTAGAGACACTACATACTGATATACACCTGAACATCAGCAGGAGAGGACTCTTTAAAGTAGAGACACTACATACTGATATACACCTGAACATCAGCAGGAGAGGCACTCTTTAAAGTAGAGACACTACATACTGATATACACCTGAACATCAGCAGGAGAGGACTCTTTAAAGTAGAGACACTACATACTGATATACACCTGAACATCAGCAGGAGAGGACTCTTTAAAGTAGAGACACTACATACTGATATACACCTGAACATCAGCAGGAGAGGACTCTTTAAAGTAGAGACACTACATACTGATATACACCTGAACATCAGCAGGAGAGGGACTCTTTAAAGTAAGAGACACTACATACTGATATACACCTGAACATCAGCAGGAGAGGACTCTTTAAAGTAGAGACACTACATACTGATATACACCTGAACATCAGCAGAGAGGACTCTTTAAAGTAGAGACACTACATACTGATATACACCTGAACATCAGCAGGAGAGGAATCTTTAAAGTAGAGACACTACATACTGATATAACACCTGAACATCAGCAGGAGAGGACTCTTTAAAGTAGAGACACTACAAACTGATATACACCTGAACATCAGCAGGAGAGGACTCTTTAAAGTAGAGACACTACATACTGATATACACCTGAACATCAGCAGGAGAGGACTCTTTAAAGTAGAGACACTACATACTGATATACACCTGAACATCAGCAGGAGAGGACTCTTTAAAGTAGAGACACTACATACTGATATACCTGAACATCAGCAGGAGAGGACTCTTTAAAGTAGAGACACTACATACTGATATACACCTGAACATCAGCAGGAGAGGACTCTTTAAAGTAGAGACACTACATACTGATATATACCTGAACATCAGCAGGAGAGGACTCTTTAAAGTAGAGACACTACATACTGATATACACCTGAACATCAGCAGGAGAGGACTCTTTAAAGTAGAGACACTACATACTGATATACACCTGAACATCAGCAGGAGAGGACTCTTTAAAGTAGAGACACTACATACTGATATACAGCTGAACATCAGCAGGAGAGGACTCTTTAAAGTAGAGACACTACATACTGATATACACCTGAACATCAGCAGAGAGGACTCTTTAAAGTATAGACACTACATACTGATATACACCTGAACATCAGCAGGAGAGGACTCTTTAAAGTAGAGACACTACATACTGATATACACCTGAACATCAGCAGGAGAGGACTCTTTAAAGTAGAGACACTACACAAGCAGGAGAGAGACTCTTTAAGTAGAGACATACTACTGATATACCCTGAACATCAGCAGGAGAGGACTCTTTAAAGTAGAGACACTACATACTGATATACAGCTGAACATCAGCAGGAGAGGACTCTTTAAAGTAGAGACACTACATACTGATATACACCTGAACATCAGCAGGAGAGGACTCTTTAAAGTAGAGACACTACATACTGATATACACCTGAACATCAGCAGGAGAGGACTCTTTAAAGTAGAGACACTACATACTGATATACACCTGAACATCAGCAGGAGAGGACTCTTTAAAGTAGAGACACTACATACTGATATACACCTGAACATCAGCAGGAGAGGACTCTTTAAAGTAGAGACACTACAATACTGATATACACCTGAACATCAGCAGGAGAGGACTCTTTAAAGTAGAGACACTACATACTGATATACACCTGAACATCAGCAGGAGAGGACTCTTTAAAGTAGAGGACACTACATACTGATATACACCTGAACATCAGCAGGAGAGGACTCTTTAAAGTAGAGACACTACATACTGATATACACCTGAACATCAGCAGGAGAGGACTCTTTAAAGTAGAGACACTACATACTGATATACACCTGGAACATCAGCAGGAGAGGACTCTTTAAAGTAGAGACACTACATACTGATATACACCTGAACATCAGCAGGAGAGGACTCTTTAAAGTAGAGACACTACATACTGATATACACCTGAACATCAGCAGGAGAGGACTCTTTAAAGTAGAGACACTACATACTGATATACACCTGAACATCAGCAGGAGAGGACTCTTTAAAGTAGAGACACTACATACTGATATACACCTGAACATCAGCAGGAGAGGACTCTTTAAAGTAGAGACACTACATACTGATATACACCTGAACATCAGCAGGAGAGGACTCTTTAAAGTAGAGACACTACATACTGATATACACCTGAACATCAGCAGGAGAGGACTCTTTAAAGTAGAGACACTACATACTGGAGAGGACTCTTTAAAGTAGAGACACTACATACTGATATACACCTGAACATCAGCAGGAGAGGACTCTTTAAAGTAGAGACACTACTACTGATATACACCTGAACATCAGCAGGAGAGGACTCTTTAAAGTAGAGACACTACATACTGATATACACCTGAACATCAGCAGGAGAGGACTCTTTAAAGTAGAGACACTACATACTGATATACACCTGAACATCAGCAGGAGAGGACTCTTTAAAGTAGAGACACTACATACTGATATACACCTGAACATCAGCAGGAGAGGACTCTTTAAAGTAGAGACACTACATACTGATATACACCTGAACATCAGCAGGAGAGGACTCTTTAAAGTAGAGACACTACATACTGATATACACCTGAACATCAGCAGGAGAGGACTCTTTAAAGTAGAGACACTACATACTGATATACACCTGAACATCAGCAGGAGAGGACTCTTTAAGTAGAGACACTACATACTGATATACACCTGAACATCAGCAGGAGAGGACTCTTAAAGTAGAGACACTACATACTGATATACACCTGAACATCAGCAGGAGAGGACTCTTTAAAGTAGAGACACTACATACTGATATACACCTGAACATCAGCAGGAGAGGGACTCTTTAAAGTATAGACACTACATACTGATTATACACCTGAACATCAGCAGGAGAGGACTCTTTAAGTAGAGACACTACATACTGATATACACCTGAACATCAGCAGGGAGAGGACTCTTTAAAGTAGAGACACTACATACTGATATACACCTGAACATCAGCAGGAGAGGACTCTTAAAGTAGAGACACTACATACTGATATACACCTGAACATCAGCAGGAGAGGACTCTTTAAAGTAGAGACACTACATACTGATTATACACCTGAAACAGCAGCAGGAGATTGACTCTTTAAAGTAGAAGACACTACATACTGATATACTGATATACACCTGAACATCAGCAGGAGAGGACTCTTTAAAGTAGAGACACTACATAGCTGATATACACCTGAAACATCAGCAGGAGAGGACTCTTTAAAGTAGAGACACTACATACTGATATACACCTGAACATCAGCAGGAGAGGACTCTTTAAAGTAGAGACACTACATACTGATATAACCTGAACATCAGCAGGAGAGGACTCTTTAAAGTAGAGACACTACCTACTGATATACACCCTAAACATCAGCAGGAGAGGACTCTTTAAAGTAGAGACACTACATACTGATATACACCTGAACATCAGCAGGAGAGGACTCTTTAAAGTAGAGACACTACATACTGATATAACCTGAACATCAGCAGGGGAGGACTCTTTAAAATAGAGACACTACATACTGATATACACCTGATACATCAGCAGGAGAGGACTCTTTAAAGTAGAGACACTACATACTGATATACACCTGAACATCAGCAGGAGAGGACTCTTTAAAGTATAGACACTACATACTGATATACACCTGAACATCAGCAGGAGAGGAGCTCTTTTAAAGTAGAGACACTACATACTGATATACACCTGAACATCAGCAGGAGAGGACTCTTTAAAGTAGAGACACTACATACTGATATACACCTTGAACATCAGAGGAGAGGACTCTTTAAAGTAGAGACACTACATACTGATATACACCTGAACATCAGCAGGAGAGGACTCTTTAAAGTAGAGACACTACATACTGATATACACACTGAACATCAGCAGGAGAGGACTCTTTAAAGTAGAGACACTACATACTGATATACACCTGAACATCAGCAGGAGAGGACTCTTTAAAGTAAGAGGACACTACATACTGATATACAGCATAACATCAGCAGGAGAGGACTCTTTAAAAGTTAGAGGACACTACATACTGATATACACCTGAACATCAGCAGGAGAGGACTCTTTAAAGTAGAGACACTACATACTGATATACACCTGGACATCAGAGGAGAGGACTCTTTAAAGTAGAGACACTACATACTGATATACACCTGAACATCAGCAGGAGAGGACTCTTTAAAGTAGAGACACTACATACTGATATACACCTGAACATCAGCAGGAGAGGACTCTTTAAAGTAGAGACACTACTATACTGATATACACCTGAACATCAGCAGGAGAGGACTCTTTAAAGTAGAGACACTACATACTGATATACACCTGAACATCAGCAGGAGAGGACTCTTTAAAGTAGAGACACTACATACTGATATACACCTGAACATCAGCAGGAGAGGACTCTTTAAAGTAGAGACACTACATACTGATATACACCTGAACATCAGCAGGAGAGGACTCTTTAAAGTAGAGACACTACATACTGATATACACCTGAACATCAGCAGGAGAGGACTCTTTAAAGTAGAGAAACTACATACTGATATACACCTGAACATCAGCAGGAGAGGACTCTTTAAAGTAGAGACACTACATACTGATATACACCTGAACATCAGCAGGAGAGGACTCTTTAAAGTAGAGAAACTACATACTGATATACACCTGAACATCAGCAGGAGAGGACTCTTTAAAGTAGAGACACTACATACCGATATACACCTGAACATCAGCAGGAGAGGACTCTTTAAAGTAGAGACACTACATACTGATATACACCCTGAACATCAGCAGGAGAGGACTCTTTAAAGTAGAGACACTACATACTGATATACACCTGAACATCAGCAGGAGAGGACTCTTTAAAGTAGAGACACTACATACTGATATACACCTGAACATCAGCAGGAGAGGACTCTTTAAAGTAGAGACACTACATATGTTCAAACTACAGTAACTTCCACCAGCATTGATTGAACTCCGTGTTGTCTTGTCTGTTCTCCGTCACGTTCTCTCCTCTCAGAGTTGGAGGCGGTGAGTTCAGGGTCTGATGTGGAGCTGGTGAAGAAGGTGACTTGCAGCTCGATGGATCTCCAGAACAACAAACAGTACCTGGTGATGGGAGCCAGCGGGTCGGAGGTCACGCTCAGCCGGGGCTTCAAGTCAGTGCCAACAGGACACACCTCCTCTGCTCCACATGTTCTCACACAGCACATTTTACATTTATGTCCAATTTAAAATGTAGTATTCCTTTACTCACACACTTGTGTATTTAATGATTTATATTTTATTACTGTCAATTTTGTAATTTAGTTTAGTTTGTTTATGTATGGTGTCGTGGAGAGTCCCCGTCGATGAACTGTCACACAAACAGTAAATGGAGCAGCTTTAGCCGACATGGCCAGATGGTAAAAGACACCCTTAAAATTACAATACCAACAGCATTAGTTATAAGACAATATATAAAATACAAAGGAGGAAAGACAAGTGTGAGGATAAAAGAGAACCATAAGCAACACACGGTACTACATACAGTACATGTCACATAGAGCGCATCACAATCACATCACAATCACACATGTACATTTAGCTATTTTATTTAGATTTGAGATGTTTACATTTTTGATTGTTTATTACTAGTCTTTTAATTTCTCTAATGTAAATTGCCTTGTCTTTTTATTCTGCTGCAACGCAAACATTTCCCAAATTGGGATCAAGAAAGTACTTCTTATCTTATCTTATCTTAACAGGACCCTAAAGTAATTAACCCCTCCAACAGGAAGTGGTCATTACTCTATGCCCAGGGGTATTCAAACTTTTTTGTTAAAGGTCCACTTGTGAATTTTATACAAAGTCAATGGTCCGGATCAATGCCAGTAAAGTCCCCCCCCCCCCCACACCCCCGGATTGGATAGGATTAATCTACCTTATTTGGGGGCCCCCTTCTGGTCCAAGCACTTGCCTGTCGGTAAACGGTGCCCCTGATACACACAGACATTACATACATACATACATACATACATACATACATACATACATACATACATACATACATACATACATACATACATACCTACATACATACATACATACATACATGCATACATACATACATACATACATACATACATACATACATACATACTACATACATACATGCATACATACATACATACATACCTACATACATACATACATACATACATACATACATACATACATACATGCATACATACATACATACATACATACATACATACATACATACATACATACATACATACATACATACATGCATACATACATACATACATACATACATACATACCTACATACATACATACATACATACATACATACATACATGCATACATACATACATACATACATACATACATACATACCTACATACATACATACATACATGCATACATACATACATACATACATACATACATACATACATACATACATACATACATACATACATACATACATACATACATACATACATGCATACATACATACATACATACCTACATACATACATACATACATACATACATACATACATACATACATACATACATACATACTACATACATACATACATACATACATACATACATACATACATACATACATACATACATACATACATACATGCATACATACATACATACATACCTACATACATACATACATACATACATACATACATACATACATACATACATACAGTATGGCTTGAACTAGTGAAATGGCATTAGAAGCTTTAGAAAGTCAAGGTAAACTTGCGGTTAACTTAAATGTGTGTCACGCTCGCGCACACAAGTAAATATATGCACGTTCATTCTCAGAACGCGTCAGACACAAGACAATATACATTAAAGGGGACCTATTGTGCAAAATGCACTTTGTGATGTCTTTTATACATAAATATGTGTCCCCGGTGCATCGGGGAACTCACGCAGAGTCCGAAAATAAAACCCGCTCTCTTTTCCTCCGTACCCAAATCTTTTAAAAACAGGGGAACAACGAGCGGATACAGATTTGTTGCCGATCTGACGTCAAATCGGCAGCGGACCCACAGAGAGTTGCTATCAGAAACAATGCCTGACGCATTTTGAACGTGTTTTGGACGTAATCTCGTCTTTGTTTACATTAGCAAGCCTCGCTAACACTCAGAGCTCACCTGTACTGGAGAGCACATGTGTTTTAAAAAGCAGGAAATAAAAAAAGGAAGTCACCTTGTGATAAACCGGCAAGAGAAAAACCATTTGAGCTCCATGCTGTTTCAGAAATAATCCTTGATGTGGTTTAGAACAGGATGGCGTTTTATTACAACAGAATTTAACTTTATCTCCGGTAGAATTCTGATCAGGCATTAGCTCCGCCTCCTCTTTTTTTTTCAAGCTAAGGACCCAAAATCCGCGTTTCTCTAACAGGGCTGCAAGAGGGGTTTGAGCAGTATGAGGCGTGGCTACAAGGGTGAACTGTTTGGTATTTTAAGCATAAAACTTCACAGACCTATATTTGTATAGGTATGGCCTACAATATATTGTTTCCAATAAATAATAGGTCCACTTTAATTTACATCAGAATCAGATTTTTAATTTTTTTAAATAATATTTTTTTTGTAATTTTTTTTTATAATGGGACACAGGGTTCGGTCCGGATTGATTTACAGTTCGGTCCGGATCCGGACCTTGGTCCGGAGTTTGAGAAGCCCTGCTCTATGCGTTATTCCTCCTCAGGTATCGTCTACCCATGGACTCGGAGGCGCTGGTGGATCTATGGCCGACAGTTTGTAGTTCTCCCGAATGTACGGACTACGTTTCCCACCTGGAGGACTTTGCTCTGGACCTGCAGTTATCCGGCTGTCCCAACTCATCGTAACTGCACTTTTTTAATGTAATACACGGGGAGATAACAAAGGATGAATGTTATTCGCTGACGATGTAAACAGACTGTCATCATGTCATGTGCCAATAAAGGTTACATAATCAAACACATGAAACTGACTCGTCACTGGGAACATGGGGATGAGCTGGAGCTGATCTGAGAACAGATGAAATGTATTAATAATGTGTGGTGATTAAAAGTGTGGTGGAGATTCCAGACTGAATCCCCTTCTGGCAAGAAATGAACAAATAGAAGTTTAAAGCAAAGTTGTGTTATTTAATAAAGAGTTAAAGCATTTAACAGAATGTGTTTCAGCCGAAGGACAGATCACCTGCACCACTGACGGAGTTCAATGATCTGACCCCGTTACCACAGAAACACAAGCACTTTAATAATAATACATTTTATTTCTATAGCGCTTTTCTTGAACCCAAAGACGCTTTGGGAGGGAGGGTAGACAAACAAAAGAAAACAGAAAAGCAGTCAGGAGGAAGTTGGTTGAGGGGGGGGGGGGGCTTATGGATACAGAGTTGAAGAGGTGGGTTTTGAGGTGGGACTGGAACAGGGTGAGGGACTCAGACTCACGGAGGTCTTGGGGGAGGGGGTTCCAGAGCTTCGGGGCTGCCACAGAGAAGGCTCTGTCCCCGAAGCTCCGGAGTCTGGCCTTGGGGATGGAAAGCAAACCGGCTGAGGTGGATCTGAGGGTCCGGGGGGGTCGGTAGAGGATGAGGAGGTCAGTGAGGTAGGGGGGGGGGGGCAGATGGTGGAGGTCTTTTTGCACTTTGTACAGGAACAAGACAAAAAGGGGGGGGGTGGGGGGGTTCAGCTAGAATTGACATGACAGACTATTGAAATGTTGGTAGAAGGTAATTATGAACCTAAGGTCATAATACATTTAGGAGCTGTGGTGGAACATTTTCAATGATCAGGTGTTGCTGCTTGTTACTTATAGTCTTGTGATTGACACTGTATGCACCTGTCCTCTGGTTCAATCTGTGGCCCGGACGAATACATGCTTGTGCATGACTAATCGTCACAAGCGTACGATGTAGGCAGAAGCATAACCCTGTTCCTGTGTGACAAGAGTGGGCCTTTAAGGCGAGTACTGTTGGCTCTCTGTTCTTTACTGACTGGCCATCTGTTCTTTTAACATTTGTCCTTTTCTATGACTGTAATTCTTAATTTCCACCTGTTATATGGTTTCATCTTTGAATACTGTTGATCTTTTGTATTGAGGCATATACATACTCTGATGAAAGGGTGCTCGGGGTCGATCCTTGGGCAGTGACTTGCTGAGTTCTAACCTTCTGCGCAGAGGCCTAATAAACTTACAAGTCTAATTTGTGTATTCCCTTTATTGACGAATGTCCACCACAGTAGCTATAGGCGTGAATTTAAACTGTCAGAAAATAAAGTTACAGTGACATTATATATAATTAAATGAGACTTATGAGACATTTCTACAATTAAAAGCACACATTCAGAGCGTCACCTCAGCAGACCTTCAGCGCTGACTCCAGGTCAGTTCATAATGAAATCCTCTGAGGGACGGAGAGGAAACACTCCGATGAACCGGAGCAGGAAGCACTCTCCAGAGGAAACTCAAGACGCTCTCTGGAGAGGTCCTGCTCAGAGACGCTGGGAAATACCACGTTAAACTAAAACCTCAATATCTTTTCACATTAAAATGTGTTTGTGTTTTTTGTTTATTATTTATTTATGGGATAGAAACGCTCCGTGCTAACACCTGACCTGAGATCAACTCTGAAACATCTATTTTACTATTTAAGTTCATATCCGTAAAAAGGCACAAAAAGGCACAAAAATGAAAAAACCTATCAAACTAAATTTCTCTGAGTTTGTTTCATAAATAATAGTTTTAAAATATTTCCTTTTCCTATAAAATTGTTCATTATTTTTTCTTAAAATCACGACTTTAATCAAATCGCCCCAAATCACAGAAAATGCCTCAAAGGGCTGTACACCGAAAACGAAAGCAAAATACAAATATCATAGCACAAACACGATGAAAACATTAGGAACAACAACAACAACAACAACAACAACAACAACAACAACACAAGTAGTTCCATATGATGCTAAACCATTCAGAAGTGACGCCAATGAAGATGGAGACGACAAGGAAGACAGATGGGAGAGATGTGTTTGAGTTTCTGGGATCTGAAGCGATTCCAAAGGGGAGAAATGGGGCGGAGGCCTGGGAGCGAGTTCAGGCCACGCCCCCAGGAAGTGCGCCGGACTCAGAGGAAAATATTCGTTGTGTCTGTCACTACCATAGACTGTGGCCGTTTCTCCATCGCGAGTACACATGCTGCAGAGCAACTATTTCAAGTATACTACGTAACAGAGTGGCGCTGAATGCTGGGCATTTAACCATAGATGTATAATAAGAACTGGATATAGTGTGGGAGGCGGGGCCTCATTCATTCCTATGAGAGTTGCTCAATGGCGCATGATGACAAAATGGCCCAACTTTTGGAGAAGGGTCTAGCTGCGGCCGCGGCCAGTATACGATGGTACACGACACGCCCACCTGACACGACACTACGGTGGCTGAGAAGGGTCTAGCTGCGGCCGCGAAAAGTTGTACTTCCAAATATGGTCAGAAGAGAGCACGCCCAACACGTGAGGTTTACAGACAACAAACAACATGGCGCACCGAGTACAGGTACTTAACGTATTGTGGTTTTAGATATAATTACATACTATTTAGGTTATCGTTTGTTTGTCGATGTGGCTGTTTAGCGCAGTGTAATTGTGTTTATTTTGCTATATATATATATATATATATATATATATATATATATATCTTAGCTTGACATGCTCGACGTTCAGTTAACTTAGCATATATGCTAACTGAACAGCATGTACTCTAATTTTTACAAGAATCTGATTTTATGTAAGTTTTAAATATTAATTGAAGGTGTCTTTCACATTTGAATGTTTTTTATTTAAAACATGTATTAGCTCCTATACTGTAGACATGTAAATATGTATAATTATTATTTTAAGTGTGGTTTAAAGTTAAATGGTAGTTATTGGGTAGAGCCAAGTAACCCAGGTGGATGCAATCAGGTAATTAGGACAGAGCCTCTGTTTTTAGATGGGGTTTATGCTGTAGGCCTGACGTTTAAACTAGCTGAAGGGCTTTCTGTTCGAACCACAGTGAAATCTAGAGGTTGTTTTGTGCATTAAAGGGTTACCTTCTGAAAGTGAGGAAGTATGACCAGCTTTGTCCCATAGGATTATACAGGCCAGTCCATTGCTGCTTGTTTAAGGAGTTAACTATTTCCAATATTAAAGTCACTTAAATTGTATTCTATTTTATTCACCTATAGACAAACAACACAACACTCCGTGATGGAGCACGCTCAGAGCTCAACAAATTGGACTCGGACACCTTCCAGTGTCCATTTTGTGAAAGGACCGGGTCACACCCAGCCGTCACGTGTACATTATGTCTTGCATGTGCTAATAACATTCTCATTACAGTATGCCTGGTATTTTGCCATGGAGGCCAGCTTTGACTTCAGCATTGTAAGTATTAAGGAAAGAAGTCACATTAAAATGCTATAACAAACTTAATGCAAAATGTATGCTCTTTCTTTAGCATGACATGTCTCTCCTGAGAAGGTGGTGGTGTGTTATCCTGGTGGAACACTTTGGACTGGAAGGGTACGCTGCAGTGCTACAAAAACATTTGAATTTGTAATTGTATTATCAAGAAGATTTGGGGGTGAACACCTGGCTCTAAAATTCAACCTTCTGGTGAAGAAAATGTGTCTTAATTGCAGGTATGGAAAGAGGTTTGCTCACTATAGTGAGGAAGGCAGGGCGACCCTTAGCGACAATGTCCCACGTACATTCAGGATCAGTCGTAAAAGGACGCATGCAAGCAGCACCATGGTCAGCTCAACGTATCTATGACCCTGTGTGCCTGTTTCAGAATGGGTTACTACTCCTAAAACACATACTACATAGAACTTATGGTACATGCAACATTTGTTTTGTGTGGTACTGTGTCATTCTGAATCGAGCCTGGATCATTTTTGGAGGAGTTAAACCGTGCATGTAAAGCACTGTCAAAATAATGGTTGACTGTCTACAGATGCCCCTGGACACTGATGAGGACCACTCCTATAACAAGAGGCCTTACAGCTTCCTTCCTAAAGAGTCGGTTAGTGAATGGACACATTAAAGTGTACAACCCCTGATGCATGTGATTTTATAATATTACATATGACTTCTTTATACCATCTTGTCTTATCAGTAAGATGGAACTTTGTTCTCATGACCTCGCCAAGAACATGAGTGAGGAAGCGCACCAAAGGCTGAAGGACTTGTGAAAGATTCCGAGGAGTTTATTATTTATTCAATATTTTTTTAAGTTGACCAGCTCTGATTTTCCATTTGATGTTCTGTTCAATAAATGTTCATTGAGGAAAACGGTATCAGTGTCATATTTTATATACATCACAGTGAATGCTGAACTTGCCTGACCATATACTGCAGTTGAAAGTACACGATGAAACACTGGCTCAATCAATACAATTCCCACATGCTCTACCCCGGAACCTGCGGTCTTCAGACTCTGGCCCCTCGCACCAACCTGCGATCCTTCGGGGACAGAGCCTTCAGTATGGCAGCCCCCACTCTCTGGAACGCTCTCCCTGCGGAGATCTGCAACATCCCCACGCTTGATGCCTTCAAAAGGGCCCTCAAGTCCCATCTGTCTGCCAAGGCCTTTGGCCCCAAATCTATTTGTTGTTTTGTCTGACTGCCTTTTGTGATGTTTGTTTCTACTCCTGTTCTTCTTTTTAAAGGGACCTTGGGTCTCATGAAAGGCGCTATATATATCCCATTATTAATACATCATTGGTAAGCCTTTTTACAATATTCTGGCTTTCACTGTTCAAATGAGATGTCAACCATCAAAATGGCATAAGGGGTTCCAAGGGGTTCTCAAACGGATAGGTTATTAATTTATTTGCTTAAAACGCCCAATAGTTGCTTAAAACGGATAGGTTATTAATGTATTTGCCTAATAGTTGCTTAAAACGGATAGGTTATGTTAGAAATTAAAATCAAT